CTTGTAAATAGATGGAATGGAATGGATTTTAAACTGCCTATTTGACATGCGAGCAACGTGTAATTTCACTGAAATTTTCAATGATAATCTTGATGACTTCTTCAGACAAGTCTCCGAAATAAACGTACTCAACAAAATTAAATATAGGCGTCAAATACCAAAAATTCATAGAAAAGGCTAGAAAAACGTTTGTTGTTTTTAAAATAATACTTCTCATTTGTGGGTTAGGTTCTTGTTAGGTTAAGTTAAGAAACTCCAAATGCACCCTGGCCGTTCGGTTTCACTAATCCACTCCAAAAGCTTTTTGGTCACGTGATAAAAACGCCACTCCAACTCTACTCCAGCACCGCTGGGCTATCCCGAACCCAGCTTTAGTCGCTTAAACTCATCCACATAGTCGGACTCACAAACTAAAAACATATTGGCATTTCGTATAGGTCTTATTTGATTGTTTGGACTGCTGTGTTGGTGAGTCAAATTAAGGAATAACGCAATTTTCGACGTGAGTAGTTATTTTTGAAGTAACGCGTTACTTTAAAAGTAATGCTTTATTTAAAAGTAGCGCTTTATTTCAAACTAACGCGTTGAGGTAACGGTTTACTTTCAAATGAGTTACCTTTAAGTAACGAACTAGGTACTTCTAAAGTAAAGAAGTTACAGTAACGCGTTACTTTCCAATAAGTAACGAAAATAAAGTTATCATTATTCGAAAGTAACTGTAAATTTCAAGCAACGAGTTATTTTTAAGCAAAAGTAACTGTAAAGTAACGCGTTACTTTTTTCAAGTAACGATCCCAGCTCTGCATGTCTTTTGAAATTGAAGTAGTCCATGACTCAAAGTGGAGTTGAAATTTAATTTTCAAAGAAAAACACCAAGTCTTCCTCCACAAATAAACTTTAATTATTTCATAGAGCCCTACATGTTTCGGAACTAGAGAGTTCCATCATCAGGGGCAAGTGCTCAGAATAAGTGCTCTCAAAACCTCATCATTTGAAACATTTTAGATGAGGTCGCTGGATTTGCAAACGGTGGAGGAAAATCAAAAAAATAGGTCAAAAATTTAAATGAAAAAACACATTTTTTTTTTGCGGAGAGCCCTAGCCCTTACATGATGCCCCTCCATAAATCTAAATTTAAAATAAGACTGAAAAACAAAACAAATTAAAGTTCATTAATGTTCCTAAACAGTTTTATTCAGTATACGTTTTTTAAATTCTTTTTGTATTTTAATGTGTTTTTTCTTTTAAATTTTTGACCTATTTTTTTGATTTTCCTCCACCGTTTGCAAATCCAGCGACCTCATCTAAAATGTTTCAGATGATGATGTATGTTTTAAGAGCACTTTCTGAGCATACTTGCCCCTGATGATGGAAGTCTCTAGTTCCCAAACATGTATGGCTCTATGAAATAATTAAAGTTTATTTGTGGAAGAAGACTTGGTGTTTTCCTTTGAAAATTACATGTCATTTGGCTAGCGTAATCCGAATTCGAGTCAATAACGATACCTGCGCTCTTAAGTTCCTCTACCATCTCGTGAGCTTTCTGTCTCTCACTAAAACTCTGTCTAAATGGTCGCAAAGTCTTCTGTTAATATCTCTATTTTAAACGAAACTTCAGTACAACACCCTAATTCTTAGAAATTGAACGCGAAACAGACAATTTATTGATTAAGCAAATCTCTAAGGTAATTTTTAGTCTTCAAGGTCATATCCGAGTTTGCATTGATCATATCAAATGTTATCTTTCGACCATTATCTTCGTTCAGTTTATTCATCTTCACTTCAACCTACTTCTACTTTTTCTTGACATATCTCTGCTCTTATTAGTTTTTCATGTTCATCTAGTTTTATTTCTCTGCTTATGGTGATATTCATAATCGGTATCTCAGCTTGTCCATGATCATCTAAATGAATTACGCATCTAGACATGCATCTTTCATGAAAATTTTGACATTCTACAAATAAGTCTTGATTTTTGTTATTTTCTAAATAGACTTTAATAAAACCAACATAATTTGATGGTATTACGCATGAGTTTTTAGCCCATAAGTTCACTTTAAGCTTGGGCAACTCTGGTATCTTCAGATCCTTCAAACAGTCCTCTTCGTATTATCACAATATGTTCTTGTTCGCTGAAAGGTTGTCCATTGCCCAATCAAAAATGGCATATCTAAAACATCATCTGACACTGATTGTGAATATCAGTTCTAGCATGCAACCTATGTCAACATTTCTAGCTATGCCCAAAGGCTTGATTTTTCCTACGCCAAAACCACATGTCACTTGTCAATTTTTCATACTTCAATTTTATGTTTTCAACATATGATAATCTCAGCATTAATTGACTACCTAAGTCCACACAAGATTTTATGCTGTTCTCATTGATAGTTGCTTCCTGAAAATACTTTAGATTTTCTTCTTTTATTCCACCATTTTGTGAGTTAAACGCTATTGCTGTGATTCGCTGGTTCGTTTGGGGTGCTTCAGGGGGGGGTTGAGGGTTGATTGTGGGAGCAATATTTCGAGATGTGCCCATATTTCTTGCATTTGTAGTAAAGGGGCTTGTCTTCAGCATTTCTAGGCGTTAAGTATCTCGAAAAGTGCTGTTTACCCTCTACTCTCGTATAACCAGTTTGTAGTGGTGTCTTAGCTTCGTCATTGCTCAATGTCTTTAGTACCTGGTTCTGCTTCTCACTAGTTTTCTGAGCATTATTCCTGTTTTCCTTGTTCAAGTTAGTTCTATTGAAGTTACCTCTATGAATACCACTAAAACGCTGCTGACGCCTACTTTCATGTTTGCGTAGCTGTGCAAATCTTGAAATAATGCATCTGTGCTATAATGCATTTCCATCCACATTGCATCGCACATTTGTCGAGAATGTAACCCAATTAGCACTTGCTCTTTGATTTCATCTACATATTTCTAGGCCTAAATCCGTACATAACTTTACTTTCTCATGAAAATATGAAATTAAACTTTCATTTTTTCCCTGAACTCTGCTCTCCATTTTTTTTTAATTTCACTGCCAACCTTTCTTAAGGCGAAAATGTAGCATTGAACTTGTTTACAAAATCTTTCCACGTGAAAATCTCATTACGCTTAGTCAAATACCAATATTTAGTAGGTACCTTTTACTAACCTCATTCTTGCTGTTATAGTATTTATTTTCTACTTTACTATTAAAGATCCATAATACCTAGGAAACGAAATACGTTAACACACCTATAACAACCTGATCCATAACGCCCGCTTTTGCGGGCGTTATGATCTATAACGCCCGCTTATAATACCTTAAAGTGTTTTTGTTTTTGTTGTTCTATTAATTTGCACTTTACCCTAGGCAGCCACTAAATGTCTGACCGAAAATAATTTTCGGTCTAGCCAGGATTCGAACCCGGTCTACCATCAACGTTTCCCATGTAGTCCAGCGCGTTAACCCACAGGACCACCACCGTTGCCTTGCCTTATGAGATGTTTATAGATATATCAATTTATTTCGTTTCTATGTACAGGTCGCAGGTACAGGTACAGGTCACAGGTACAGGTACATGTCAAAATACAAATCAATATTCTGTCACACAAGTTTAACTGATTTTGTTAATAATAAATTGATGAAAAAATATTGGGTTGAGTAGAAAATAAAGCATTGTATGCACCACGGGGATTTCAAGATTATAATGCCGTTCAGGCGAAATATATCCCTCGGGCCATAGGCCCTCGGGCTGTTTCGCCTTCGGGCATTATAATCTACATAATCCCCTTGGTACATAAATAGCTATTACAAAGTCAGTTGAACCAAGGTAAAGGTAATTTGCAACTGGTGGCTGACTAGTGGCAGTGCATTTCTGATGAAAATATTCAGTCACCAGTTGTAATTCACCTAACATTATATACACCAAGATTCCAGCCCAATCCATTTTCTTATTTGACTACCTGAACCAAAATTAAATTAATATTCTCAGAAACCAGGGCAAGTTAAAATTATATTCGTGCCTATAGATGCGAGTGTCAAGCGTATAGTAATCCGAGTGATTTTCATATTACCGTGCGCTCGATACGTATCGAGATTGGGTATCCCGAATGCGGGTTACTTGACACTGGACGCTTGATATTAAACTGCAAACCGGCCGGCACGAAACTAATAATATGGACGCTGACTTTTAATTAACTTATTTAAATGGAGAAGCAAAATAACAATCATTGATAACAACATGTATACTCGATACCCGTGGAAGACAGACTAGCACTGTCATTCCTTGCCGTCCATTCTATTCCCTAAAGCTTACATTCACCACACTTTATTGCATAATAAAATCCAATATTCATCACTTCATCAACTATTCCCACGGTTAGTGCATCTAAAGCTGCAGCAACTTTGGATCTTTGCTGCTGCTATTCTTTCTCCCATTTCTTTCCAGTCTTCTTTATTTTGATGAATTTGGACTTCAGTTTTGTCCTCCACTTTATTCGTTCTTCAGTTTTCTTCTTCAATTCATCGATAATGCATATTAGCTGAAAGTGAAACATCTTTCTTCACCGATCTTAAAGATCCTACACACCATAATAATTATTTGGTAAGGTTTTATCTTCTTCCATCTTATCAACGATAAATGTTTTCTTTGAATATTTTCTTTTGTTTTGAAAAAGTTTCTACTTTTTCCTCTGCTACTGTTTTCGCATTATTTTCTATTTCGAGAGGTTTCCTAAGTCAGCTACAGTTGGACCATGTTTTTCTAGAGAAGAGAACCTATTCCTGACAGAAGATTTTGGCACATTGAACATTTTGCACTTAAAATTCCTATTACAAAACAATTCAAAATAAAACCAGATTATATTTTCAATAAACTTTTATTGCTAATGGTTCTCAACAGACTCTTCTTTCTTTTGCAGTTTCTTACATGATAACCATATACGGCTTAGATTGTAGAATATTTTTCCTATGACTCAAAATCTCCCCTATATTTTGCACTAAATAGGTATAAACATAAGAATCTTCCAGATTTATGTGGTTCATGATCAAAGTAACACTAGGAGAACACGATAGATGCAACGACGCCAAACGACCAGAATCCAGATTTGTACTGAGAGCGGTAGCTGGAGCTTTTAGTTTCCTGAATTTCGACAACGATATCGCTTTATTGAGGCTCAACGATCGAGTACCGATTACGCAACATATAAAGCCCGTTTGTTTACCTAAATTAAAAGGTAACAAGCCTTTATATAAGTATTTCAAGTTATTTATTGATTATATTATTCTAGATGAAGCTTACGTGGGTCAAATAGCAACAGCCGCAGGATGGGGTACATTAAAAGAAGACGGAAAGCCTTCTTGTATTTTGCAGGAAGTCAGCGTTCCCGTTATAAGTATCGATGATTGTCGTAAAACGAATTATTCGTCTAAAATGATCTCTGATAATATGCTTTGTGCTGGATATCCTGAAATAGGACAGAAGGATTCTTGTCAGGTGAGCTTTAGAGATTTGCAACGGTATATATTTTTATAACGTAGTAAGTTTGGAACTACTTTATTTGAAATCAATTTTTTTTCAAACTTTGAGAGTAGGTAACCGGAATAATTGCTATCCCAAAGGAAGCTACCAAACTTTTGAAAATTTGTCCGGTTTATAGTTGTTATCAAATAAAATGTTTTTCTAAATTATTGTTCTACTTATTGCAATCGATGTAGAACTCAGAATAACATCGAAGTGTTGATTGAACGTCATTGCACTCTTTCTTAATGCAATCCAAGAGCCAGCAATAGTTCAAATTTTCATTATTATCGGCTCTTGATTCGTCGAATTGTACTTTTGAACTTTTGAGAACAAAAAAGCCCAAACACTGTCCCAAAAAACTTCGAATATTAGATAAATATAATCAAGAGCAGATATATAGTCCAAATTTTGATTATGACCGGCTCTTGATTCACTTCTGTAAACATTCTTCAATAGTCCAAATTTCACAATTTGTCTAAGGGCCAAATTATGGACTAACTGGTAAACGTCTGGTTGTTACCTAGCAGGTACTTTCTATGCTCTAGATAATGGAAAGTACCTGCTAGGAAACAACCAGGCACTTACCATTTGGTCCATAATTGGGTCCTAAATGCATTCAAGAGCCAGGAATATAGTTCAAATTTTCATTATTATAGGCATATTGTTTTCTATCAATTTTTCATGAATTTATATCATCGGATTAGTCTTCTATCTTGTTACTGTCTTTTTCATTTTTTTCCCAATTTCTACTTCTTTCTCTTCATCCTCAAATTCTGTTTCTTCTCTCATATTCGCAGCCTCTCTGTTTCTCCTCTACTATCTGATGCAGCTTCTGCTACCTTCTACAATAGGAGCAGGTTCTGTCCATGAATCGTTTTAGTTTAACATCCGATTCACGTTGCCGAATTCTTAAGAATTTTCCTATATTTTTACTTCATAGTTTAGGTTCTTCTTTTTTTTATCCAAACCATTCTATGAAAGCTTCTCCCTATTCTCAACTTTTCTTATTGAGACAAATACTCTGCCCTCGTTCCCAAATCCAAATTCTGGGTTTTTGTGCCTATATTATGTATATCTTCAACTCTATCATAATCATCCAAAATGTTCCTTCAATGCTGGTTTTTTTAATTGAAAGAAAGCTAATCTAGTACTTATAAATTTTTTCCAGGGTGATAGTGGTGGTCCACTTATTGTAGAAAGAAGTGACAAAAGATATGAATTAATTGGTAAGACATAAAAATTTAGGTCACTTGTAAAAAAGATCAAACATTGAACATTTTTAGGTGTCGTTTCTTGGGGTAATGGATGCGCCAGACCCGGATATCCAGGAGTCTACACCAGAGTCACTCGTTATTTGGACTGGATTTTGGAAAACTCGAAAGATGGCTGTTTCTGTCAAGACTAAAATAGTTATAGATACCCGATATAAAAATACTCAAACAATTATAATTATTATGTAATGTAGCCGCCTTGTTTTACTTGAAAAGACCCCCATGATTCATCGTTTATTATGTGAAATTGTGAAATAAAAATAATAAAATATTTCCGATAATAATTATATAATTACAAAATAAAAACAGTTCTATAATTATTATTAACAAATTTCATATAAAAATATAGCCTTATTAAAAAATGTATCACTTTTTTGTTAATCTAATTTAATCTAAAAATGCGAATTAGTATTAATTTTATTTTAACAACCACATAATTATTCAGATTTTTGATAAGTGATAATAGCGTCTTCGTAATCTTCTTTCGGTTGATCTTTGTCGCCCCATCCCCAAATTTCGTGGCTACCATCTCCGGTTCTTTCTACGCGTTTTTTAACCATTTCCTCGGATACGGTTTTGAGATCGTAAGCCCAACCGATTTTGGCAAAGAAATCAATGAAGGCAGTTGAAAAATTGACTGAATATTGTCCTAGTTCAGCTGCTTTGTAGTCCCAAGGGAAGGTGTGATGGTAGTTGTGCCAACCTTCACCCAAAGCGAAGATTGAAACCATAAGGTTTTCTGATGGGTTGATGAATCTAGAATAATAAATCAATCAATGAGATGTTTTTTAATTAAAAATAAATAAAATACTCACTTGTCATAAGGTCTGTGACCCCACATGTGTGCAGCAGAGTTGACCAACCAAGAAGCATGCAGAGTGAAAACAAATCTGAACATGTTGACGCAGAAAGAGTTGAGCCAAGTTTCGTTCCAAAGCAACACGGGAATTGGAACGGGCAAAACGAAGCATATCAAAGGCATCAGTATTAAGTAATATTTGTGTTGGAATCTGAGAATTGGATCTTGGTATAAATCCGAGATGTCCAGTTTTTTGCCTTGTTCGATAACGTCAGGGTGTTTTTTGACGAGAAGCCATCCCATGTGAGAGAAGAAGAAGCCACGTTTGGCATTGTGCGGATCAGCATCGGTTTCGGAGTATTTGTGATGGACTCTGTGATCTCTGGACCATTCAATAACAGAATTCTAGAAGAAGAAAAAAATGGAATTTATTTCAACCCCAATGCCAAAAAAGGTCCGAATGGCTTTTCTTTTAAAGTTATTTAACGTCAGAACTTATTGTGAAATCGTAGAATTTGAAGTAGGAATTCTTTTTTTTTTCATTAAATCAAAAGCTAGAAACTACTTACTTCAAAAGCCAAAGTGTTACAGATGGTCAACAATAATCTGAGCGGCCATTTGGCTTTATAAGCCCGATGAGACCACAATCTATGTGCTCCGGCCGTTATTCCAAATCCACTCATTTGATATAGAAAAACAGCTAAAGTAAACAATAACGTATTAGAATGTTTTGCATCATATAATTTGCTAATTCTTACCCAAAATCGATGTATAAATTCTAGCTGAAGTTGCCATCAGATAAACTCCATAGATTGCAATCGCGTGAAAGTAAGCGAAAATAATGATATTTCTCCATACCAGTTGTAGTTTTCTTTCGGATGGTTTACTGTTGTTTGGTGGTACAATTGTTGGTGCGATTTCGTCGTCTTGTTCGTGTAGTACCCCGGTAGGGGCAGAGCGTACGTTCGGTGCCATTTCTTAAATTTTGTCTGCAACGAAAAAAAAAAAACACTTTCAATAAAATTAATAATTTGTACCTACTTATGTTAACGAGAACAAAACCAAATAATGCAAAATTATGCAATTTACGTCGCCCATTCTTTTCTCGGTATAAATTTTTAATTATACATGCACGACAAAAATATTAATTTCAATGGAAAAAAAAATACTTGTGTGTGTTTTTATTTTAAACATTTTTCTGTCGTTGGAATGAGAATCTCCAGCAATCAGTTCTGATTTTGCTTCCGGTATTTTTGGCAGCAATTTATGTAAATAGAACTTCAGGAGAAGCGACTGTTGTAGTAAAAGAGCTTCAGAATTAAGGCTTTAAGGGCGAGTATTATAAAACTACTTTGAAAGTTAACTTAAAGTTAACTTCTGGAATTACATGTAATTCAAAAAGTTAACTTCAAGTTAACTGTCAAAGCAGTTTTATAATACCCGCCCTAATAAGCTGAAATTCAGTACAGATTATTCTGACAATAACTGACATGACATACGACATAACACAGTAAATAAGGTAATGAGATATGCAACATTCTTCCTCGCTCAGTTTCTGACATAATCTTGAACATATTAAGGTGGCCTACATGATTTCTCTTTACCATAACACGACCGGATTTATCATTAGGTTTCACTGTGTTTCGCATGATAATTCTATTTTTCAACGCATCAGTGATTATACTGCTAAAATGTCGTCCCATCAAATAATGCCTCCATTCTCTTATAGCTTCTATTATTGCGTATGCTTCTTTCTCTATAATGGAATGATTTCATGTGAATGGAACTTTTTCATCGACGAAAGTTACAACAGCATCAATATCAATAATATCTTGTTTCATCCTTTCGAATGCTTGAATTTGTTCTCTGTTCATGAGAAAACTTTTCACGTTTACAATAGGATAGGATGTATCTTTTCAGAAAAATTGTATATAAATTTTCAGTAGTGCGCAAACATTCCTTGTACTCTTCTGAGAGAAGCAACATCTTTAGTGGCTGTTAAATTGATTAGGGGTTGTAGCCTATCTGCATCAGGTTTTATGGTTTTTCCTTCTATTGTATATCCCAGAATATTGATAACTGACATTGAAAATTAACATTCTTCATCGTTCAGTGTTAGATTATACTTTCTTGTAATATTTATGAATTTTTGTAAGTTTTTGTCATGTTCTTCTTTTGTTGTTCCACAAATGGTAACTTCCTCCAAAAATGCATATGTATCGGATAGTCTTTCATTATGTATGATATTGTTAATTATAAGTTAAAAGCAGGCTATTCCATTTGTAACGTCAAATTGAATTCTTGTGAATTGATACAGGTTGTTACATGCTTCAAAGCCAGTACCTATAAATTCGCTCACTTTCCAAAATAGGTATTTGATGGTACGCGCTACGTAAGTCTATGGAACTAAAATGTCCATATTGTGAAACTTGACTGGCGATTTTATCAATAATAGGTAGGTAGTAAATATGCATCTAATAAAGTGAACTTGTTGATTGTCAACGAATAATCAACAACCATACGCTTCTTAATGATTTGAGGTGCTTGTCACTAAAGTTTTAGTGCTCTCCATGGTGAATTACTTGGTTCAATGTTGTTTTCTTTAAATAATATTCGTATTACTGTTTCTATAAATTTGTGGTAATCATTAGAAAACCGTCTGGATTTAATAACAATAGGCTGGCAATTTTCTGTTAAATTTGGAAACAGCGAATTGAGTCGAATATTTGCAGTTAGGTACTAGATTACAGATAGAAAGTTTTGAAGACCTGAATTCTACTCCTGAATGATTTTGAAGAATATCATGTCCAATTATAACATCAGAACAGAGATTTTCGAAGATTTTTGTACATATTATTATGATCTAATATTTTTATAATTATTATGGATCCAAAAACAGTGGAATTTAAACATGAAGCAGGCATTGTGACATTTAGATTCGTAGGAAACATTTTAATATGTCTTTTTGTGGTGATAGTTTTTTGTTTAGTTTTTACCAAGTGCCATAGAGATAGAAATAACGATCTCTATCCGTTACATAGTACTCCAGCTGCTTTTTTCAAGATTATCAAAATACTGATGTGGGAAATAACTAAATCACCTTTACAAGACTTTTGTTTGCCGTACAAACCCAAATGCCAAGGATTGGTCACCTATATCTAACTAAAGCAAGATATGGACATAAATATAATTTGTTTTTTGTACAGGGCTGGAAACTAAAGAAGCATTTCGATTTTTCAAGGTGTTCAGAGAAGAGGCGTCTGTTTCATCGAATATAATTCATTCATATTCATGCATTCGATAATTTCCGCATCACTTTTGGCTCATGAACATTTTAAGCAACAAATGCCGGATTACAGGGACATTGAGCACCATCTCAAAATACAAGCTGAAAATCAGTAGGTAGGTACTATAATTACCGGCTTTCGTAGAGCTGAAATGTGAACTAAGAAGTTTAAAAATTCTACGTCTGGTTCTATTAGAGCTGAAATTCAACTCGACCAATATGAAACATTCAAATTTTGACAATTTTTGATTTAAAATTGAGCTACACCGACTAATTTTTGATAGATTTTAGAGCTGAAATTGGACCAGAGAGACGTGGAAATCCCATTCTCGGCTTTCCTAGAACTAAAATGTGAATTAGAGAGTTGAAAAAAACTGTCTGGTTCTACTAGAGCTGAAATTCAACTCAACCAATATAAAACATTGGAATTTTCAAAATTTTAGAGTTAAAATTGAGCTACAGCGACTAATTTTTGACAAATTTTAGAGCTGAAATTGGACCAGAGAGACGTGGAAAATCCCATTCTCGGCTTTCCTATAGAGCTGAAATGTGAACTAGAGAAGTTTAAAAATTCTATCTCTTGCTCTACTAAAGGTGAAACTGAACTCAACCAATAGGTATAAAATATTGTAATTTTGACAATTTTTTAGTTAAAATTGAGCTACACCGACTCATCTTTGATAGATTTTAGAGCTGAGATTGAACCAGAGAGGCGTGGAAACCCCATTCTCGGCTGTCCTGGAACTGAAATGTGAACCAAAGAAAATTTAACAATTTCTGGTCCACTAAAGCTGAAATTGAACTCATCCAATATAAAACAATAAAATTTTGACAATTTGAGAGTTGAAATTGAATCAGAGAGGCGTGAAAATCCCATTCTCGGCTTTCCTAGAGCTGAAATATGAACTAGATAAGTTTAGAAATTCTATGTCTGGCTCTGCTAAAGCTGAAATTGAACTCAACCAACATAAAACATTGAAATTTTGATAATTCTAGAGCTAAAATTGAGCTACAGTGACAAATTTTTTATTGATTTTAGAGCTGAAATTGAACCAGAGAGGCGTGGATATCCCATTCTCGGCTTTTCTAGAGCTGAAAAGGGAACTTTCGAATTAAGAAATTCCATGTCTGGCTCTACTAAAGTTGAAATTGAACTCAACCAATATGTAACATTGAAATTTTGATAATTTTAGATTTAAAATTGAGCTGCAGCGACTAATTTTTGACAGATTTTAGAGCTGAAATTGGATCAGAGAGGCGTGAAAATCCCATTCTCAGCTTTCCTAGAGCTGGAATGTGAACTAGAGTAGTTCACAAATTCTATGTCTGGCCCTACTGAAGCTGAAATTGAACTCAACCAATATAAAACATCGGCACTTTGACAATTTTAAAGTTAAAATTGAGCTAGAGCGATTCATCTTGACTTTTGTAAATTTTGCAAATGCCTAACAAAGAGTGTAGTAAAGCAAGATAATATAGGACAATTTGCATAAGAAGCTCTGACTCTATAGACAAAATCTAGCCCAAACCAGTCAAGAAACAGGAAAATTTGAGGAACAAAATATAAATGATAGAGCAAGGTACTTACAACAGCAAAGATGATAAAATGACTGTAAAATAGTGAAACTTTCTTCATGATGAAGTTATGCAAGTTATTGAGACAAAATTCAAACTTGATTATGGTTTTGACACTAGTATTCTACCATCAAACATTATTTCTTATTTCAAATAAAACTCTATTCAACCAGACAACAATCATTTCAGTTTCTTATGATAATTTTAAGCTCAAGGCAATAGGTGAGGTAAACTTAAAATGTTCTTACAGGTATGTAATTTCACACATGAACTTTATTTATAGTTGATTTTAAGGATGAAACTACTTTTAGGTTTGAGGTTTCACCCTATTGAATTTAAAGGTTCAAATCTGAAAGTCAAAAAATTCTACGAAGCTTTATATAACAATCCACAGACAATTAATCAAACAGTCCACCTACAAAGAAAAGTCCAAAACCAAGGATCAGATGATATTTCAAATGCTTCCATTGATGAACTCCGAAATGCTTCAAAAAAGACAAGCAACACTTTAAAGTTCCGGTAGAAGATGAGAATAGGATGGCACACAATAATTAGAAAAATTCAAAATCTTTTCAGTCTGTGTCTGCAAAGTCATAACATCATAAGTCTACTCAATCAACTATACAAATTATATACTCGCATAATGGTAAATTGACTAAGACACTAAATTGGACATTCATGAGTCCTGGGAACAGGCTGGATTCCGCTCTGGGTTCGGTACTTTTAGTGTCTCGAAACCGTCATAAAAAAAGAGCATTGAATACAAGCGTCCTTTGGAATTGGTGTGCGACTTCCAAAAAGCGTTTGACACCGTAGAACTTCCTCCAATCTTGAGATCACTACAAGAAAGTAGAGTTGATCACCGATATCGCGAAATTATTAAAAACATATACGACTATACAACAACCGTAAATCTTCACTCCACCACCAGAAAAATCAAGAGGAATCCGACAGAGTGACACTATGTCACCCCAAACAATTTTTTAAATACGTGAAACACACTCTCAATACAACAGTCTCTGAAATTACTTTAAAAGATCCGAACACAGGAACTCCAATCACGGATGGTTACGCGATAGCAGAGAAATTTGCACAACAATTCACCAGAGTTTTCTCAAGAGACAAGAA